CCCCCCGCCTCCCTCCGCAGGCGGAGACCAGCCCGCAGGGCCGCACGCTGGTCCTCAGGCTGTACGAGGCCCACGGCAGCCACGTCGACTGCTGGCTGCACACGTCGCTGCCGGTTCAGGAGGCCGTCCTGTGAGTGGGGCGCGGGGTAGGGGTGGGCGTCCTGCCCTCGCGGGGCCCTCATGACCCCCACTCCTGTTCTCCAGCTGTGACCTCCTGGAGCAGCGCGACCCTGCCGGCCACCTGCCCCTTCGGGACTCCCGCCTGAAGCTCACTTTTTCTCCCTTCCAAGTGCGGTCCTTGTTGCTGCTGCTGCAGCCCCCTCCAAACTGAGCCCCTGACGGTGGGGTTTTATGTGTGGAAGGCTTTGGGGGCTCCTCACTTCTGCCTCCCCAGCCTGAAGCAAGGATCAGTCATCTCTTGAACAATAAACCCTTGACTCAGGAACCCTGCTAGCAGTAGTCCCTGCTCACTCCCCTCGGGGCCTGTCCTCAGGGAGGAAGGCTTTTCCCCAGGCGTTTGGGGGCAGGGGCAAGATCCGAACTTACCGGTGTGTGCAGGGTCTGGGTTGCAGCACCTCCCCGCCACCCCCCCCCGAGATGTGGGATATCAGTGACCACAAGCTGGCAAAGAGACCGGGGAGGGGAGGAAGCCAAGAGGGTGGATTCCGGCTGGCTGCCCACTAGGAGAGGAGCACTGGCCGGCGGCAGTGCTGGGAATTCTGGACTGGAGGAGCTGTGGGCCGCCCCCCCCCACCCCCCCTCTCCCGCTGCCCGGGCGGGGGTCTCTACACCACCTCTGAGAGGCTGTACTTGCAGAGGCAGGCCATCCTCTGAGAGCCAGGGCCTGGAGGACTGGGATGGGGCTCAGTCAGCCTTGCCCAGGTGGCTCTCCAGTCTCCAAGGTCAGGCAGCAGGTTTTCCCAGGTTGGCCTTCCCAGACCTTCTGCAGCCAGCCCAAGAAGTGCCAAGAAATTCAAGTGTATTAGTTTATTAAAAATGACAGCATTTTTCATGTGGGCTTAAAAAATGGGGAAGGTGGGGTACAATTAAAAACATCAGAGGTGTGCAGGGAACAGCCACAGGGCCAGGGGCACCTGGCCCCCAGCAGCTCCAGCCTGCTTCTGGTGAGCCGCCCAGGCCCCGAAGGGCTCAGCAGAGAAAGCGGGTGGACGCGAGCAAGGACGCCCTCTGGCTAGGAGGCTGCCGTCCCCTCATTCTCTAAGGATGGGGTGTCAGCTTTGATCCTTCGGGGTCTGCGGTGGCCTGGGAGGAGGGCAGGTGAGGCGGCAGCTCAGACCCCAGGCTGAGGGCTGCCCCAGCGGCCTGCCCACCCCCCTCCGTCCACAGTCCTCCCGCCTGCGCTGCCATCCCTTCCCCCTGCAGAGCCTTCTCTCCCCAGAGCAGCATGCTGAGCAAGGCGCACCTGAGCTTCTCAGGAACTCGGGGGGGGGGGCCTCTGGGTCCTGCTGGAGGCTGGTGCCCTCAGGCTGCTCTACTCTACTTTGTTCAGGAGGGCCTCTGTGTGCCCCACGTGTCCTGGGAGGGGCCGTGCTTGGAAGGAGAGGGTCCTGAGGAGATACAGGTCCCCAAGGGGCTCTGTGAGCAGTTCAGAGGTTGGTGAGGACCCACCGTTGCCCCCCATTGTCAAGGGAGGGCACCTGGGAGGTGCGGCTGGCTGGCGGGGCAGGGGAGAATGCAGGGAGGAGCCATACCTCCGTTCTGTGCTCAGGCCCCTGCTGTGCTCCCTTGGATTTCTTCTTGCGGGACTTGCCTCCTGCAGGACACTGACACTGGGGCGGGAGAGTCCTATGCCCTCAGCCCCCTTTCTGCAGACTCCTGCTCTGGGGTGACTCCCAGGGTTGGAGTGGGGACTGGGATGGAGAAGGATGATGTAACTCTTGCAAGCAACTAGTCCTTCCTGCTCTCCCAGCTTATTACATTAAGAGTAGCTTACCTTTGGGTGCCAGGGGTCCAGGATCCCCCTAAAATAGAATGAGGAGAATTCAGGAATCAACCTGGCTGGGGCAGGGGGAGTCTTCCTTGGAGAGGCAGAGCTCACAGCTATCCTTCCAAATCAGTGGAGCTACTCCCCTAAGAAGCCCCTCTGACTGCCCCGTCCTCCGCAGGTGGGAGCCCACATCAACAAGGCCACCCGCCTTGGGCCACTCTACTGGCTGGGACCCTGGGGCTGAGGAGAGGAGGGGTAAAGCATGGGGAACAGTGTGACCCCTGGGGGCAACGGCAGGCCCTGGACGTCTGCTCCTGGAAGACCCCAGCTCCTGCCCTGCTGTGACCCCAGGTCTGTCCACCCCACTAGCTTCCTCGGGATCTCCATTTGCCTATGTGAGATTAGGGCCCAAACCTGGAACCAGATGGTCCGGCCACGCCGGTCCCGCAGGGAGCTCATGCCGGGCATGCCGTAACACTGAAGCCATGCTCGAAAGGCGGCAAAGTCGTCCTCTCCGCTCTCCGGCCCGTAACCTTTGCCCCCTGTGGGACAGAGGAACCAGGCCGAAGTCAGGGCGGACTCAGGCCGGGAGTAGGGGGAGCCTGGTCGGCCTGGCCCAGACCTCAGCTACTAGCTGGCGGACTGAGTCAGGGGGCCGAGGCTCTCCATCCTCCAGCTGTGTGCCCTCAGGCTGGTGGCTTCCCCACTCTGGGCCATGGCTTTCCCACCCTGGGGTGGGGTGAATAATCCTTGTCCGGCCTGCCTTCTGGGCTGCTCAGAGAACATACATACCTAACAAGCGAGGAGGCTTGTTGCTTGTAGCAACAACTAGATCTACAGACATCCATACCCAGGTAGGGCAGGAACTGCCCTGGGGTTACACAGTTTACTGAAGCAGAGGTAGAGCCATCTTTGGCTCCCAGGCCTCACCCAGCTGGACCACTTCCTTGGGCACGGAGTGACACAGTTCCAGCAGGTCTGGGTTCTGCAGCTTAGCCCTGATCTTCTGGCTCAGAGTCAGCTCCGGGCTCTGGAGAAGGGGCAGAGGCAGGAACTGGCTGTCAGCATGAGGCAGGGCCACTCAGAAGGCAGCTGAGCAATGGGGAGCAGAACCCCAGGAGCTTGGCAGGACTCAGAGACCATCCATCTGCCCCCGACCCCTGACACTGCAGAGAAAGGGAAATGGGCCCAAAGCTGGAGACCTAACCCAGCCTATACACTTGCTGGCCTGCTCTGATGGGTCTGTCCGCCTTCCTCCCCGCACCCTCACCGGCCTGCGCTGCTGCAGCGCCTCCAGAACCTCGCGGGCCTTCTCGAAGGGGGGTATCCTCAGCCTGCAGTGGGGTGGAGAGAGGGAGCCACGCTAAGCAGTGGAGAATGTGGGTGCACCCAGCCCTCCCTAGTCCTCATGGCCGTCCTGCTGACCGGTACAGGATCTCTGCCCGAAGATAGTTGCCAATGCCATTGAAGAACCTCTGGTCCAAGAGGGCCTCGCAGATGGGCTGGTCAAAGACCTTGTCCGCTAGGTTTCGTAACACGTTCTCCCTGGAGGAACACAGCCAGCCCAGGCACATGAGACCCCATCTCTGCCCCCATCCCTGAGGCCTTGCCACAGGATAGAGAGGGGCTAAGGGTACCTGGGTGCAAGGGGAAGGAACATGGGAGTCCCAGCTCCCGCTTTCCCAGCCTCAGTGCTATTTTGGCAGCGGGAACCTCCATTTTCCTTTTTTAAAGATTTTGTTTATTCATTTGAGAGAGAGGCAGAGGAGAGGCAGAGGAAGAAGCAGACTCCCTGCTGAGCTGGCGCCCTCCATTTTCCTATTTATTGGAAATAATTTCCTATTTATTGGAAACACCAGTATGAGATTTGAATTCATTATGAAAAGTGAAAAAAAACCAATCAAAAGCAATGTGTTTGGGGCGCCTGCGTGGCTCGGTTAAGCGTCTTCCTTCGGCTCGGGTCATGATCATGGGGTCCTGGGATCCAGCCCCGCGTGGTCGGGCTCCCTGCTCAGCGGGGAGCCTGCTTCTCCCTCTCCCACTGCACCTCCCACTGCTTGTGCTCACTCTCTCTCAAATAAATAAAGTCTTTTTTTTTAATAAAGATTTGATTTATTTGACAGAGACACAGCGAGAGAGGGGACACAAGCAGGGGGAGTGGGAGAGGGAGATGCAGGCTTCCTGCCGAGCAGGGCTTGATCCCAGGACCCTGCGGGGACCTGGGTGGCTCAGTCATTAAGCATCTGCCTTCGGCTCAGGTCATGGTCCCGGGGTCCTGGGATCGAGCCCCGCATCGGGCTCCCTGCTCGGCAGGAAGCCTGCATCTCCCTCTCCCACTCCCCCTGCTTGTGTCCCCTCTCTCGCTGTGTCTCTGTCAAATAAATCAAATCTTAACAAAAAAAAAAGGAACGTGTTCAAGGAAACATGAGTCTGTAGATGTTGTGTGTCTATCACCAAAGAGCCTCAGGTTCAAGGGTCTTGGGTGGAGAACAAGGTGACCCCAGGAGCTCAGGTGCGCCTGTAGTCTGGAGCTCCCTGTCTTCAAGGAAGCTGGTGCTGGCTCTGTGTAGCAGGTGTGTGGTGACAAGTCCTGGCTAGCGAGTGTCCCAGCAGCCCCCACCCCACCTCCAGGGGTCCCCGATCCCTCCTCACCCCCACAAAGAGGAAATGCACCTCGTTTCTTTGTGGGAAAGGTTCCTGGTGAGACTGACTCAGTAACGGGCACGAGCAGCATATGAAGTAGGGGCCAGAAGACAGAGTTTGGGGTAAAGGGAAATGTGGAGCATTAGCCTAGGTGGTCAGAGCACTAAGGGGAGCAGACCCCTGCAAGCTCCCCAGCTGTGAGACCAAGAAAACAGCCGAAGTTCGCAGGTGAGAGAAACTTGAGAGCCAGGTGGCAGAGTGAACTTGTGCCATGACTTCCCAGGAAAGTTGGATGGGAGGACTCCAGGACGGTGACAGACGCTTCCCTGGGGTGCACTCAGGGTCGAGCGTGGGAAGGCCAGGAGTCAAGTGCTCAAGACGCCCTGACCCACCCAGGACAACCAAGTCTCAGGCCCAACGGAAAGCACGCCAGCCCCAAGGAAGGGAGGAATGGCTAAGTCCACTGCAGGCCTTGAGTCTGTGATTCTGTCCCTTACAGTGCTTTTCCTCTAGGGCTTTGCAAAGACTGGCTCCTTTTCATCGGGCAGGCCTTGGCTCAAATGTCACCTAGAGTGGTCCTTTCCTAATCCGACCCCCACCCCACCCCCGCCCAACCCGGCCAAGAGTCATTCTCCACTTCTTGGATTTTTCTTCAGGCATGTGTCTATTTAAATTCATCCACTTTGTTCCTTGTTCCCCCTGCCTTATCTGAACTGTAGCTCTGTGGGAGAGGGACCACATCCATCTTGCTCACTGCGGTACCCCCGACACCTGGCGGAGGGCTTGGCACGAAATAGAAACCCATTCATGTTTCACCTTTAGAGGAAGGGAAGTGGCCGGCAGCGTGCCATCCTCTGTGACACGCATCACATCCCAGGTGGGGTGGTGACCCCTCTGGCAGAGACCATGGGACGGTCACAGACCAGTGGGCAGGCAGAATGTGGGAGACCGCAAGCCCGATTCAGAAACCGTGTCATGAGGCAGTCCCCCGGCCACCGCTTTGAAGCAGTTCCTTCCTGCTCAGCCGCCTTTCTTACCAGGTTGTTAAAGCCCCTTCACCTTTCTTCTTAGCCTCCGAGAAGCAGAGTGGGATGCTGAGCCCCAGGTCTGACACGAACTGGCCATGTGTCCTCAGGGCAGCCCTGCCCATCCTCCTCTTGCCCCCCCCCCACATCAGTTGCGGGGTTCCACATCCATTAGCTCAGAGAGCTGTCCCTGGGAAAGGACACTGTCCTGGTCGACACAAAGGGACTGAGGACCAGAGGGGACTAGATTTGTCCCTCACTGGCCAGCGAGGCACTCACAGAGCCAGGCCCGGAGCCCAAGACTCTGTTCCTCATGCCTGGTGCTGGGCCTACCTGAACTGCTCATACTCCAGCAAGACACAAGGCCCGCGGCCGGGCTGCCACTCGCCTCCGAGGTCCCAGTGGCCAAAGCGGCGGATGTCCACGAAGCAGAGGGCGAGTGGGGGGCCGGGGGGAGCTGTGTAAAAGCGCAGGTGGGCGTGGGCTGGCAGCGCATCCCGGGGCGCCAGCTGGAAGGAGCCAGACATGCCGAATCGGAAGACCAGGGCCAGTGGCCCCCGTGGGGGCTCGGCCCCAGGCAGGGGGCTCAGGGTCAGGCGCAGCTCCTTGCCACGGGCCGAGGATGAGATGCAGTACGCACTGCTCTCAAAGGGCACCTCAGGGTTGCGGCTGACGGGTGACTTCTCCACACACCCGCCAAACACCAACCCCCTGCACGCCTCGTTCAGGAAGCGGCTGGCCAGATGCAGCTCGGGGCCCTCAGGCATTCTGTGCGCGGGTGGCCGGGCCCTGTGGGGGGAGGATGACAGCAGGTGGGGCTAAGTGGCACCTTGTGAGGTAGAAATTATCCCCCCATTTTATCAAGGAGAACCCTGAGGGCCACAGGGGGCCACTACCAGCTGGGATCGGCGGACAAGTCAACTGGCCCGGTCACAGGTCCTGGTCCCCACCTGAAAGTGCTGAGAAAGCCCAGGGCACTATGGAGCTCAGGCTGGGGAAGCGAGACTCTGCCTTATTTAACACCTTCCATGGGGCTTTCATGAGCCCCCACTGCTTTTAGAATCAAGTCCAGATCCTTCCTGGGCCCACACAGTCCTCTTATTCCTCCCACACTCCCCCTCACTCACTGGCTCCAAGCACCGTCCTCCCAGCCCCACGTCTTTGCCCCTGCTGTCCCTTCAGTCTGGGACACTTGAGAGAGGCCCTCCCCGACCACCCTCTCGAGGCAGCATCCCCCCGCCAACGAGTTTTCTTTTCATGGCACCCCCAGAATCGGAAATGATCTTGTTTGTTGTCTGCCTCTACCTCCACTCCCACCCCAGAGTACAAGCTCTGCTTGCTCACGACTCCGCTTCTTGGGACCCGGCCTGCACCTGCTCCACAACAACTGAGGGAGGGAACCCGATCCCGCCAGGGGGACGAGAACTGGGAGAACGCTGCTGGAGACTCCGCCCGCGGCGGGGACCGGCCTGCCACGACGCACTGCTCGGGACCAGAGCGAGGACGAGGAGGAGCGAAGGCAGGTGCGCTGGAACCAGGTGCCCACGGCTCTGAGGGAGGAGGACAGGGGTCACAGGAAGGGCTCCGGAGCTCCGGGTCAAGGTCCGGGGGGGCACAGGAAACGCCCACATCAGCGTCGGGGCCGAGGCAAGCGAACTCCATCCCGCCCGCCGCCCCCCACGCCTGGCTGCGGGAGGGGAGTTTCCACCCTCCTTTTTCCGGGACCTGCCCAGATCAAGGCCAGGTTTTGTGTGGGGCAGACAGGGGCATTTAGCCAGGGAGGGCAGACTGCCTTACCCCTGTCCCCCTCCTCAGCGCCGTCCGGGGTCTGGCACCCGAATGGCTTCGTTTTTCGGGAAAAGGTGAACGTCCAGATTCCTAACTTCCGCAGGGCGGGCACCCTAGTGCTCACCTCCCCTTCACCACCCCGCCCCGCTGCCCGTCCTCGGCTAACCCCAGCTCCCCAAGGTCCCCGAACCCCATCCCCTCCTCAGCTCTGCAGCACCGCCGCCCCCGGGTAACCTGCTCCCCGCGCGGCTCCCCGCCAGCCTGCAGCCACTGAGGGGTTAACGCGGGGGGGGGGCGGGGAGGGGAGTCGGGCCGCGCCCAAGAGCACGCTGGGAGCTGAGGTCGCCGCTCCGGCGCCTGCTGGGAAGTGTAGTTTCTTGGTCAGGTGGCAGAGGCTGGCCGGGATGGGCTGGGGGGCCCGAGTGTGGGAAAGACTTTGGGGCTGTCACCTGGCCGGGAGGTGGCGGAGGAACCTGGCTTCCCGCTGCTGCGCGCCAGCGGGGATCGGGTCAGGTCTGAGGTCCCGGATTGCAGCTGTCTCCGTGGCTGGGGGCAAGTCACCCGGCTAGTCCCGACAGGGTCGGCCCTCCCAGCAGGAAACAGCAAGCAGCAAGGTCCCGAGGCCGAGGCGCCTGCAGCTGTGCGCAGGGCGCGCAGGTGCTTGATAAACGCAGGCCCTGGGGACCCGATGGTGGCCCCTAAGAATCCAGGCACAGTCAGACGTAACACATAAACAGAAGCACCATCACCACCTGCCGGGTGGCAAGTGCAGCCAAGCAACAAAAAACGGGCGGAGAAGCAGAACCCACTTCAGATGGTCAGGTCTGGTCTAAAGAGGCCTCTGTAAGGAGCTTGCATTCCATCTTAAGTGTGGTCGGCACAGGTGCCTGGTCCATAGCCGGGATCTGCCCCTTCATATTACTTCTGCTTCCTCCTCATTTGGGCGGAAGGATTCTGAAATGAACTATGCGAACTGCGACATTGCATCCCTAATACTTCAGCATGCATCTCTAAAAAGCAATATCCTACAAAGCCACATTTATCATACGTAATAAAATCAATACCATCTAATACCTAGTCCACATTCAAATTTCCCTAATTGTCCCCAAAATGTCTTTTATAGCTGGTCTGTTCAAAGCAGAGTCCAATCAAGGGTTATAGGTCTCTTTAATCATTTTTTATTTAGATGGAACCACCCTCTCCATCTCCCACTCACCCCACCCTTTTTTTTTTTTTCTTGGTTTTCATGATACTGACCTTTCTGGAGTCCAAGCCAGTTGTTTTTTGAGCTGCCCCATCACATTCTGGATTTGTCTGAATGTTTCCTTAGATACATCTCTCTCTTTCCTGGGTGCTCTGTACTCCAAGTTGCATCACATTAGGAGACACCTAACATCTGGTTGTCCAACATCACTGAGGCTGAAATTGATCATGGGTGAGGTTGTGACAGCCAGTCTCTGCTTTGTAAAGATACCTTTCACACCTTGTGACCACTAAGTAATCGATGGGGTGATTTCTCTGTAGGTTGGTCTCTTTTTGTTTTGTTTAAATTAAGGTATAATTTATATACGGTAATATACACCATTTGTAGAGTCTGAGTTTTGTTTTGTTTTTTTAGAGTGTGAGTTTTGACAAATATATACACTCATACTGACTATGGCCACAATCAAAGAATACATTCCCCCCCACTCCTGCAATTTGCCTACGCCCCCTGTAGTCAACACATCCCCCCTCCCCTGCTGGCAAGCACTGATCTGCTTCCTGTCCCTATCCTTTTGGTCTTCTCCATAATATCTCATGAATGGAACCTTCAGTATGTAGCCTTCTGAGTCTGGCTTCTTAGCATAATGCATTGAGATCCATCCATGTTGTTATGCTTATTAGAGGTTTTCTTTTGATTGCTGAGTAGTATTCCACTGTGTAGCGAGCCACTGTGTTTATCCAGTTACCAGCTGGGAGGCGCTGGACTGTTTGTGTGAGGGGATTCTTTAGCAAGTATCATTTCACATCATGTAAACTTTTCACCTAATGGCTCTATCATCCTCGATGATCCTTGCCTCAATCAAGTATTTAACTGGGAATTACAAAGTGGTGGTTTTCTCTCATTCCATGAGAGAAAGGCCATTAGTTGTCCTGAAATGTTAAAAAGATAGGATAAATTCTGAATTCCTTCCCTCTAATGATCAATTTTCAGACTAAGAATTTGGTGCAGTAACTTCCAATGGTGACAAATTAGGGGTCACTTGGGGTTTTTTGGGGGGGAGGGACTTTGTCTTTTATAGACTCTTTTCTATTACCAATTCATGGATTTTTTTTTTTACATTCAACACCAGGAAACCCATTGCCACCCCTCTCTGACCCCCCACTGACTGAAGGAGTACCTATCAGGCACTGGGACTACACACACACAGGAACACAATTCCCATCCTTAAGAGATTCAGAAGGGTAAAAGAGGCAAATGAGTAAACACAAAATGACAATGCCATATTACAACCTGTGGGAGTCTGTGACAGCACAGAAGAGGGAATGCAACCTGGGAAATCAAGCTAATGTGAAACGTTTGAAGAGACTTAGAATTTTCTGTGATCTTCTGTCTGCCACTTTATTTTTGTTTATTCCACTTCTCTTTTGTTTTCTTCTTGCCCTCCTGTGGGCTACCTGAATTTTTAGAACTCCAGTTTGACTTATCAGTTTTGGTTTTGAGTGTAGTACATTGCACAGCCTTTGAGGTAGTTGTTCTAGATACTCTACACATGTACTTGTCACAGTCCGCTGGTGTTGACATTCTAAGTGTAGAAACCTTGCCCCCTTTACTCTTTCCTATTTATAATAACCTTACATATTTCCTCTACATACTTTAAGAACCACATCAAACAATGTTTTATGTTTTGCTCCAACTGTTGAACATAATTTAAAATGCTCAAGGAAAGTCTAACTGTATCCAAAACTTCACTCCTTCCATTGTTCTTCCTCCCTGACGTTCCAAGATTCCTTATCATTTCCTTTCTGTTCAGAGGTCCTCCTTTCGCCTTTTTTAGGTTAGGTCAGCTGGTGACAAACTATATTAGTTATCCTTCATCTGAGAATATCTTGAGTTCCCCCTTTACTCTTGAGGTAATTTTCGCTGAATACAGAATTCTCAGTTGACGTTTTTCTTTCAGACCTGAAAAATGTGCTTCTTCCTTTGGGCCTCTATGGTTTCTGACAAGAAATCCACTCATTTGCTTTCCCCCCATAAGGTAAAGTGTCATTTCGCTCTTGCGGCTTTCAAGATTTTTTTCTTTTCTTTAGTTTTCAGAAGTTTGTTGTATGATGTACCTTGGCATGGATTTCTTTGGGTTTAATCCAAATGGGATTCATTCAGCTTCTTGACTCTGCAGGCTTAGGTCTTTGGCCATACGGGGGAAATTTGTAGCCATGATTTCTTTGCATGTTTTTTCTGTTCCACCCTCTTTCTCCTCAACTTCTGGGACTCTGATGACATGAATATTAGATCTTATGTTACAGTCCTGCAGGTTCCGAGGCTCTGTTTGTTTTCTGTTTATTTTCCAAACTATTTTCTGTTGATCAGATTGGGTAATTTCTATGATTATCTTCAAATTTATGGATTCTGTCTTCTGTTGTTCAGTCCAGTTCATTTTTACTTTATTACAGATTTCAGTTCTAAAACTTCTATCTCGGGGCACCTGGGTGGCTCAGTCATTAAGCGTCTGCCTTTGGCTCAGGTCATGATCCCGGGGTCCTGGGATTGAGCCCCACATCGGGCTCCCTGCTCCGCGGAAAGCCTGCTTCTCCCTCTCCCACTCCCCTTGCTTGTGTTCCCTGTGTCTCTGTCAAAAAATAAATAAAATCTTTAAAAAATACAAAAAAAAAAAAAACTTCTATCTCATTCTTCTATTTCTTTGTTAAGACTTGAGGCATTTTTGGGGCACCTGGGTGGCTCAGTTGGTTAAGCGCCTGCCTTCGGCTCAGGTCATGATCCTGGAGTCCCGGGATCGAGTCCCACATCGGGCTCCCTGCTCAGCAAGGAGCCTGCTTCTCCCTCTGACCCTCCCCCCTCTCATGTACCCTCTCCCATTCTCACTCTCTCAAATAAATAAATAAAATCTTAAAAAAAAAAAAAAAGACTTGAGGCATTTTTATGATGGCTACTTTTTTTTTTTAATTTTTTTAAAGATTTTATTTACTTATTTGAGAGAGAGAGAATGAGAGACAGAGAGCATGAGAGGGGGGAGGGTCAGAGGGAGAAGCAGACTCCCTGCCGAGCAGGGAGCCCGATGCGGGACTCGATCCCGGGACTCCAGGATCATGACCTGAGCCAAAGGCAGTCGCTTAACCAACTGAGCCACCCAGGCGCCCTATGATGGCTACTTTAAAATCCTTGCCATACAAGTCAGAGTTATCTTAGTGTTGGCATCTGTTGTGTTTTCTCATTCAAGTTGAGATTTTCTTAACTCTCGGTTTGTTAGTTTGAATCCTGGACATTTGGGGTTTTGAGACACTGGATCTTATTTAAATCTTCTTGGAGCACTTGGGTGGCTCAATTGGTTAAACACCCGAGTCTCCATTTCGACCCAGGTCATGATCTCAGGGTCGTGAGATCGAGCCCCATGTCAGACTCTGTGCTGAGCGTGGAGCCTGCTTAAGATTCTGTCCCTCCCTTTCCCCCTGCCCTACTCACACACTCTCTTAAAAATATATATATATCTATATATATACACACACATATATATATTTATGTATGTGCCGGGGGTGGGATGGGGTGGAAGAGGGGCTGCAGTTTCTTTGTGGTGTGACCGGAGGAGAGCAGTTATCATCAGTAAGTCTCCTGTCTTGCCAGATGGCCCCTTTCCTGATCCCCTGGCTCAAGAGAGCATGCTTTGGTCGAGCTTCCAGTCTGTGTGCTGGTGTTTCTCAGGTTGCCAGTCTCCAGCACCCAGCCCAGGACACAGGGAGCAAAAAGGAAACCTAAGGACTGCTCTGCTCTGTTCTTCAGTTCCTCAGGATCTCAGCGAATCTGCCTTCTCTTCACCTTTCAGAGTCTGCTGTTTGTTTTATATGTAATGTCCAAGGTTTTCAGCTGTACTTGGTGAGAGGAATGGGGGAAGCGCATCTGTTCCATTTTTCCAGAAGCAGAGGTCAGGACGAGTCAGTCCTTAACTTTTTGATGCTTAAAACTGTCGCATCTTTGGCCAGTGGGACAAGCTGGCTCCTCCTGACAGCACTCGTTATTGTCTGGTAGCTTCCCTGCACCCCAAGATGTTCTAGGCCACTTGTCTCAGTCAGTTCAGGGTGCTGTCCCAAAATACCAGAGACTGGGTGGCTTCGACAACAGACATTTATTTCTCAGAGTTCCAGAGGCTGGGAAGTCCAAGATCAAGGAGATGGCAGATTTGGTTCTTAGTGAGGGCCTTCTCCTGCTTTGCTGTTCTCATGTGGCCTTTTCTCAGTACATGTTCTGGACAGAGTCTGTCTTTCTCTTCTTATAAGGGCCTAACCCCTTCATGAAGGTCCCACTCTCATGACCTCATCTAAACGTAATTACTATCCAAAGCCCCATCTCCTAAGACCATCTCATTGAGGGGTCAGGGCTTCCGCACAGGAATTTGGGGGGTGGACACAAACATTCAGTCCCTAACCCTGCTCCTCTTGCCAATGAGCAGTTCAGGCAGGGACCCTCCTCTCTCTATCAAACGAAGACGGCAGGAAGAGCAGGGCTCTCTCCTTTCTCTACTCGGGGCATCTGGCACTGGGGCCGCGTGCTTACTGCCCGCCTGCAGACAAGGCCAGCACAGGACCACGAGTTAGAACCCCAATTCTCCTCTCCCCACACAAGCTGTGTCACTGTGGTCCTTGTTCTGCCTCAACCAGTAGTTGAAAAGGGAGAATGAGTAATGGGTCAGGGAGGTCTGTATGTCACTTGGTTACTCTCACAAAAACCTTTCATCTGAACCCAAAAAGAAACCTGTGCACACACTCCTTCACACTTCTGTTTATTCTTCCTGCTCATGAAAACTGTTGACAAGTGACTTTCATGGGGGAGGGAAGGCAATGCTGGAAAAGTCCTCAGAATCCTGATGCTGAATTCTCAAGTGGGAACCTAGCAAGCCAGAGATCTGGGAGGCCAGGCCTCCAGGGTCCTGGAGCTGGGGCTACCCATGAAGAGGAGTTCGGAGGGCAGCGACTCAACATGGGCCCCAAACACCCTTCTCCTCAGCCCAGGTTGCTCATCAGGGTCTGAGCCTGCTTCAGTTCTGCAAAGGGAAGAGGTGAGCAGGTGGGTGGCAGTCAGGTGGGATCTGGGAGGGCCCCTCCCCCTCCAGGTACAGCAGAGTCTCACCTGCCAGGAGGACCTGGAACTTGTCTGCTGAGAGAGACATGGCCACAGGCTGGGCTAGGGCACCCGAGGCAGCTGCCACCTCCAGCCTCAGGTGCACCATCGGCTCTTCCACGGACCGAAGCAGGCTGGAGCTCAGGGTGTAGTCCACCCGCCAGCCCACACCTGCCAGCCTATTCACTGTGAAAGGGGGGGGCTCTCAGGATCATAGGCTGGCAAGCCACACTGCCCTCAGCCCACACCTGGCTCCACTCTCAACAAGGCTGTGGGACCTTTGAGAACCTCTCATCCCTCTGACCCAGGGAAGGTGTTCAATAATCAGTAGCGAGATTATCCACAGCAGATCTCAGAGGAAAGAAATCTGGGCTGGAGTCAGGAGTCCTGGCTCCGTGACTGCTTGACATGTGACCAGGGTTAAGTCTTCTTTCTGAGAACAAGCACCTCCCATGAAGCATGTACCTTCTAGAATGGAGCCCAAACCCCACCCCGGCCCCCTCCCACACTCACCACGCAGGCTGCAGGCCCGCAGGTGCTCCTGTAGGGGGCTTTGCTTCTCCTCATAACAGCGACACAGGCTGGCCGCGTGCTCTGGGGACAGAATGGAGGCCCCCTGATGTAGCAGGTGGGGGCTCAGACTGCTCACAGGGCAGGTCTCAGGCTCCTGGCCCAGAGGGCAGGGCACATCTCAAAGCCACTTGGCGTGGCCTGCTGCCCAGCAGCCCCTGGCACACATGCCTGCCTGCATACCCGTACCTTTGGGGAGCCCCAGCTGCTGCAGTTCACTGGCCAAGGACTCGCCATCCACACTATGCTTGGCCGCACTGGAGAGGATGAAACTCAGCACTGCCACCGTGGCCTTGACATCGCCCGACTCTGGGGGGTTGGGGGGGAGCCCGTGGGTGGGGGAGGGGGTGTCACTGTGGCCTCAGCCACCTTCTTGTTGCCCCACTATCTTCAGCTCACAGCACAGCAGTGAGCACTGCTACTGCCCCCCACCCCCAGAACTGGCAGAGGGCGGGACCGGTGACCCCGTTCTTCCCCCTCTGCTGAGGCAAGTGCGGCAGGACAGGCTGCTGGGAGGAGGGGCCTCTGTGCTAAGCCCCAGGCCAAGTACCTGCGGGGGCCCAAAGGTCTGTGGACTCAGTGGGGTACTCACCAAACCTGGCATCAGCGGTGAGCTTCAGGATCTTCTCGTACTATGGGGAGAGGAGGCCCTCAGGGGGTGCCAGGCCCCTGCTCACCAGCCACTTGCACCCCAGCCTGCATCCTGATCGCCCACCTCCCTGGGTCTGGTGCACTTTCAGGGCAGTAGGGATCACAGGGTCATGGGGCAGTGGGGTGCTGGGCCCCGCACTCACATCAATCCCCTGTCCCAGAAGTTCCTTCAGCACTTGGCTACACAGCAGCCTCAGCTTCACGGAGGACTGGAGGGGAAGGCCTTGCATGAGCCCAACTGGCCCACCCCACCCCTCCATGCGGGGGGGCTGGCCACAGGACTAGAATCACACAGCAGGCCAGGACAAGCTGAGGGTACTAAGGCCCCAACCTCAGAGTGACCTCACCACCCTCCATCCCCAAAGCCCTCATCCCCAGTCCCCGCCTCCTCCCACCCTAGAAGACCCCGTGCACTCAACAATCTTGGCCAGCGTGCTGATCTCCGCCAGGACCCAGTCAGGACAGTCCAGATCACCACAGAACCGGAACCTCTGCACAGGAGTGAGGCAGCCGGTCAGGATGGAGGGCTGAGGTGTGGCCAGGTGTCTCCCCCATTATTGCTCTTTGGGGATCCCTGCTCCCTGTCCAACATGGATGCCCTCTGGCCACTTGTTCTCTCCTATCACCAGGCTGTTTAGAGAACCCTCTCACGGACCCACCTGCCACCGAACCTTGCTCTGCTGCCTATCCTAGGCATTCCTGTGTTCGGCAAACACTGCCTGTGGCAAACTTCTCTGTGGCAGACCCCAATCTAAGTGTTGGGGGTACAGCACAGAACAGAACAATGTCCTTGTCATGACGTCATGTCACTTCCTCCTCCTTCTCCTCCCTAGCTCCAGCCACACTGGCCTCCTGCTACTCCTGTTACACCAGGCACTCTCCCACCTTGTCCTTGCTGCCCCTCCGCACACCCTGTTCTCATGCCTCATTCTGGCCTCTGCCCAAATGGGTCTTCTCTGACCATGCTTCCTTCCTCCCTCCCTCTTTCCTTCCTTCTTCCCTCCCTCAATCCCCCTTTTTTTTTTTTTTTTTAAGATTTACTTATTTGAGAGAGAGCACGAGAAAACGAGAGGGAGGGGCAGAGGGAGAGGGAGAGAGAATCTCAAGCAGACTCTGCACCGCACGCGCAGAGCCTGACCCAGGGCTCTGTCCCAGGACCCTGAAGATCACGACCTCAGCTGAAACCAAGGGTCAGACACTTAACCAACTGAGCCACCAGGCGCCCCTGACCATACTTTCTAAAACAGCCCCTTGCACAAGGAAATTTCAGAGGCCAGTGGGTATGTTCATTATCTTGATCGTGGGAACATATACATTTCAGAACTTACTGAACTGTACATTTATATGTGTTATTGTTGATTTTATCTCATTAAAGCTGTTAAAAAATAAAATAGCTCTTCTCCATCATGCTCTAGCCCCTATCCTTCTTTCTTGATCTCCACAGCAGACATCACATTTATTATTTATTCAAGGTCTGTCTCCTGTTGGAATGCAAACCCACCCTGTCGGCCACATATTGTCAATATCCTCCATTCCCTGGATCAATTGTCCTTTGTCCTGTCTGCCTGACAAAACTCTAGGGCACAGCAATATACATGTCCAGCTTTCCACACCTCTTACATGTGGGCTGCTTACAGATGCTGGGAACAAAACCCCGCAAACTGAGGACACCTCACACCCACATTCTCCTGATTCTGCTGGGCCCTCGGTGCAGCCTGGCAACACCATGTCCTCTACGTGGCCCTACCAGTCATCTTCTCAGCCACTTCAGACCTGCTTCACAATCCTTCAACCACCAACCCTCTTGCTCTTTTTCACCTGACCCCACGGCACTGGTGCTTCTATGTGGGCCTCCCATGAAGTCCTCTAGCTGTGGTCACAAATGACTGTCACTAAATCTGGCCTTCCTCTCACCCAACTCCTGCACAGGAATGAGGAAGCCGGTCAGGATGGAGGGCAGCATCCCACATGAACCCGTCCTCCCTGGTGAAGCAGCATATTCTCCTGGATTTCTCCCTGTCCTGACCTCGGTCTCATTTGCTGGATCACCCTCCTTCCCCCAATCCCCAAAAGGTGATCTCTGCACACTGCCTGCATCATTACTCTGGGGCAGGGGCCTGGGACAACTGGTGAGGAGATCGGGTATTAAGGACAGTCTTGCACTTCTGTCTCTATTTCAGGAGTTTTTAACCTTTTTCTGCCATAGCCTCATCTGGCATCTGGTGAAGCCTATAGGCCTTTCTCAAAACCATGTTTTTAAATGCATAAAATACATAGGATTGCAAAGGAAACTAAGTTATCAAAATAGTCAAACAAATTGGTGATGTGATGTTGCAAGTCTAATACCCATCATAACTTAAAAACGATCTGCATAAATATGTGAACAATGTCACCAGCTGTAATATGATACGAAAATATCTCTAATTTCTATTGGTGACGAAGTCAGAGGTGCTGTTGCTACTGGGGTTGGTTGCCAACATTCACAATTGAAGGAAATGCTAAATTTCAGTTTGAAGTTAGTGAAAATTAAGATGTGAGATTTTTCCTAAGTTCACGGGCCCCTGACTTCAACCCACAGAAGTCTTTTACCATCTCTGTATTCTTTACATTTTTTACAAGAATGTGTTCCTTGTGTAATTTCTTAAAATGCTGGCATTTCTCTAGGTTCTGCCCTAGGTCCTCTCTTCCCAACTCACATCACTGAGATGTTACATGTTTTTAGACTTACAATGACCACCTCTGTGCTGATGACTCCCCAATTTATAAATGCATTGTAGCTTCTCTTCTGAGCCTCAGACCCTTAAATCTAGACTGTCTTCTAGCCAGCTGCACCTGGTGGCTCGCAGAAACCTCACACAGCGCCACCTATCAAAGTTAACGTTTGCTCTTTGCCCGGAAACCTGCTCCACGTCCTGTGTTTCCCACCCCACTGAGCACCACCACCTGGGAGCCAAGCCGACATCCCGCTCTCCCTTTTCCCTCATGCATTTCCCCACTTCCAGCTCCACTCTCTCCACCCTAACTCAGGTCACCACCATCCCCTGGGGGTCTGCTGCCCCAGCTTGGGCTCTCCGCTCCCCTCCTGCTCCCTCCGCAAGTCAGCCGAAAGGATTTTCCTAGCTTCCTAGTGCCCTCTTCTTAAAGTCTAAACTCCTTAACGTGCTCTCAAGACACAGCAGGATTTGGTCTTTGTTACCTGTTGAGCCTCGTATCTCACTAACCTTCAGCTGATACCCTTCCAGCTAGGTGAAGTGCATCCACTCCTAGCGAGCCATGCTCGCTCTCACCTGAAGCCTTTGAACATGCTGTTCTGTCTGAAGATAGAGCCCCCCTCCCCAAGCCTCCTCACCCCTGGGACACAAACTGCACTGCAGCCAGCCAGTTTTCTTCCCTGCCCCCAGGCCCTCCGGTGGCTGTCACCCTCAGGAAGCCTTCCTAACGCTACTCACAAGGCACAGTTAGGTCCCTTCCCCTCAAGTCTTAACTATGACTGCCAAGTCAAGCCTCTTGCAGTTTAAGCCCCAATGCCTGGCACACCGCATGGTGTAGAGTAGGCACGCAAAGCCTGTTGAAGGAATGAATGGACGGAGGAGCTGAGAAGCCCCAGCCCCACGTCTACTCCTTTCTGGCTCTGGGAAGGGTGAAAGGACTTCCGAACAGGGCGGAGACTGAGGCTCATTCTATGCAAGTTCTTCTCCAGGTCGCACAGGAGGGCCGGGAAGAGGGCACCTCTGGGAGGTCGTCCGGGGGCCGAGGAAAGCCTGGAAGCGCTCCCGCCCCGGGCAAGCTCCACTTCCTGCCCTGGGGGATGCGGGCCCTTCCTTCCCGCCGAGGAAGCACCGGGACTCCAAGCCCGCGGCCCGCCCGCCCTACCAGCCGGACGCTCGGCCCTCACGACCGCACCCAGGTGTCTGCCGAGGGGCCGGGGCTGCCTCCACCTCCCCGCCCCGGCGCCCACCCGCCCGCGGCCGCATAGGCGAGGGTCGGGGGCCTCCCTGCCCGCCCCGGCGCCCCGGCTCCGGTCACCCCGGCTCCGGTCACCCCGCGGCCCTCACCATCGCGCCTGGAAGCCGGCCCTCCTCCTCCGGGTGCGCCCGGTCAGCTGACGCGGCGGTCACGTGGTGTGGGCGGTGCCTCCACGGGCGGGGCGGGGCCCGGGCGAGCGCCGATGGCCGCTCTGGGAGCTCCCGGGGGAGAGCGATGAGCTCGCTGTCTGTCTCCCCAGAACCCCTTCCCGGAAGTGACCGGCGCCACCCCCGCCTCACGACGCGGTTTAGCTAGAAAGAGAGCGTGGGAGCCATAGAATGTGTTCGACTTAAGGGAGCAGGAATCCGGAGCCCTTTCTGGACCTTGCGAAGCAGGGTTCAGGTCGTTCCCTGTTGCCCGCCAGTTAGCCGTGCCCTTATAGATAGCTATAGGCTGTGCTGTGGCTAAAGGCATTTAAAAATTTTACTGAAATATGATACACGTAGAGAAAAATGTATATGTTGTAAGTATAAAGCTTAAATGAATTTTCATAAACTGTACAGCCTACGTCCCCAGCACCCATATAAGGAAACATTACCAGTGACCCGCATAGCTCCTTCGAGTGCCTGAGTATTTCATTTCATTTTGATGAATTCCTCTTAGTTGCCTTAGTTACAATTGGCTGTAACAATTGACATGCTCGGAACTCTCCCTGTGGCTTCACCAACATTAGATGTTTATTTTAGTTTTTCTCAATCGAATGGGAGAAAAATAGGTTGTTTTAAGTCGCATTAGTCTGCTTACTGGTGAGTTTGAGCAAAGGATGGACTAGGAAAACTAAGTTTTCAATATTCTCTTAAAGAGGTAAAAACAAAACAAAACAAAAAAACAGCAACAGCACCAAAAATATCCTAGAGAATAGACTGATAACCAGAGAAGAAACTGAACAATTTGAGATCTCTTTTCGATTACATATCCCACCCCCCATAAACCAGGCCCAGCTGGTTTTATTGTTGCAGCCTTTCAAGCTTTCAAAGGACAGAACCCATCGCAATTAAACTGCTCCATAAATAGAAAAAGAAAGATTCCCAATTCATGCTAAAATGATCTCATTTATAAAGACCTTTTTAAAAATCATAAACATCAGCATGTTGAAGTCAACAGTGTGTTAACATACTACACTATGTCAAAGAAAAACTTCATCTTAAGAATTACAAGACTGGTTCAACTTCTGTTTCATCATGTTAATAGGTTAAAGAAGAAAACATTGTTGATAGACTTGGAAAACCATTTTTTATTCAAAAGGAGAAAAAAGAAAAATTGGGAATAGGTGGAAACTGCCTTAAATTGATAGAGTATCTGAAAAAGGAAAGAGCAAACATGAGACTTAACATCAGACAAAGTATTTAAATCTGGAAACAAGGCCAAAAGGTGGGTGGTGTGTCCTTTTAATGTCATACTGGAGCATTGTCTCACAGATTTGTTTCATAAATAGAGATTATTTGACTATTTAGAGCAGTGGTTCCAGACTTTACAGTGCATCTGTGTCACCCACAATGCGTGGGGAGACAGAGGTGCTTCCCACCCTCGAAGTCTCTAATTAAATAGATCTGGGATAGGAAAGGAAAATGTGCAATTCCCTTAAGTTCCCAGGTGATGCTGATGCTTCCGCTTTGAGGACTACACTTTGAAATGTAGGAAATGTAGGAAATGTAGGAAAATGTACCTGATAAGTTATATGTTAGCTTATAGATTTCTGTCTAGTAGAAAAGATAACCCCAAAGATTACAGTTTTATCGCCCTGTAAGACATCAACAGGCTTTCTCTCTAATTCAACACACACTAGAAATGCTTCTTCTCAAAATGTTACTTGAACTTGCTTTACCATCTTACTGATTCCCTCATTGATTAAATATTTGACACGCATTCTTTCATTTTTTGTATGACAGTCATGTTTTTTACTTTTGGCAAATTAAACTTTGATACAGTACATTAGCCCTGAGCAGGAGCTACTCAGATACTTCAATCCTAGATGACTCCCATTAAAGTCAGTAGCAGTCATATGCCAACATTACTATGATCCAACATTATTCTAGATGCTTAGGCCAGTGGTTCTCAGCTGGGGGTGATTTTGCCTCTCAGGGGTATTTGGTAATGTCTGGAGATATTTTTAGTTGTTACAACTAGGGAGTGCTGCTGGCATCCAGAAGACAGAGGCCAGAGATGCTGCTAAACATCCTACAAGGCACAGGACAGTCCCCCATAACAAAGAATTATCTAGCCAAAAGTGCCAATCGTGCTGGTGTTGAGAAACTCTAATTCTAGATAAATAAAACATGGGAAAACCATTAGCATAAATGTTGGAAAAGAAAAAACTCGCATTTGCAGATGACAGTCTATCTTGAAAATTCAAGAGAAGCACCTGAAGAAAAACTAGAAGTCATGGAATGCCAGCGGGTGGTGGAGGGTGGGGGGCTGGGGGGGTGGTAGAGCATTGTGTGAGGCTCTCCTGGCCTACCTGGGGCAGAGGAGTCAGAACCCCACAGGTGGAGAGCTGGAGGCAAGCAGGGGAGCCCAGGCCACATCTGTCTGACCTTCTGTCAGCCTGAGAGAAAGCCAGAGGTCCCAACTGGAAGGTCTTGAAAGCCCTGGCCTGGCCTGGGGGCGAGGCTGGGGGAGGGGCAGGGTGAGCCCAAGCCACTGAGCCCATAAGGGGAGGACCCCAACCAGAACCCAGGAACACTGGGACTTGCTGAAGACCCTATTCATTTGCTTCACAGACGGCAGTGGAGAACCAGTCCAGCCTCTGGCCAGGATGTGTTTTTGGCTTCTAACACCAAGGCCCACCTTACCTTTCCCTCTCATCTGCAGCTGGCTGCCACAGTTGAACAGCCCCACATCAAAGGTGAGTGTCTCCCTTAGGAGGTCCGAGGGACTGGGGACACAGGCACCAGGGTCAGCTCCTTGGGCTGGACCAGGTGGCCAGTCACAGACAAGCCCCAGTGGACCTTCACCATCAGCTGGGCCCTCCTGGACCACATAGCTCTGACTGGGGCAAGGGCGCTCTAGGGCCCTGGGGGATCCTAGAGGGATTTCAGGAATGAGCTCTTCCTGAGACTGACCCTCCTTGCAGCACCCGCAGCAGCCTGATCACCCCCAGACACACTGCAAGCCCCAGTGTGAAAACACTGAGCTTTGTACCCACCCCACCTCTTACAGTTGGGTCCCTGCCCAGGGGGCTGCTAAAAGGGGAAATGGTTCCACCCGTTGGGGAAAGGTCTTAGGAAGTCACCTTTTTCAGGATTGGCCCTTCCTTCCTTCATCCTTCCTTCTTTCCTTCCTTCACTCACTCACCACATACCCACTGTCCACTTCTCTAAGACAGGCTCTGGGATGATAGATCAAGCAGAGTGTCTGTCCTGAGGAGTTCCCCTCTCTGAGACCATGATGTCCTCCGGTGGGCACCCAGGGCTGGGGGAAAGGGGAGGCCTCACTCACAGGAGGTGATGGTGGGTGTGAATGTGGAGGGGGCAGTGGGAGCAAACTTAGGGTGAGGGTGTCCAGGCAGAGGGCTTGTGCATGGAGGGCTTCCTGATTCTGCCAACTATAGTCAGCCCTGGCTAGATCACAAGGAAAGTCTTCATGTTTCTTAAAAATGATATTTAATACATTAAAATTACATAACTAGGGGTGCCTGGCTGGCTCAGTCAGTAGAGCATGTGACTCTTGATCCCAGATTTGTGAGTTCAAGCCCCACATTGGGTGTAGAGATTATTTAAAAATAAAATCTTAAAAAAAAAAAAAAGTTATATAACTAAAAATGATTATCATAATAAAAATCACAAAATACAACTAAAAGTCAACCTACAGTATGGGAGAAGATATTTGCAAATGACATAACTAGTAAAGGATTAGTATCCAAAATATGTAAAGAACTCATACAACTCAACACCCAAAAAACAAATAATCCAATTAAAAATGGGCAGAAGACATAAACAGACATTTCTCCAATGAAGATATACAGATGGCCAACAGATACATGAAGAGATGTTCATCATCACTCATCATCAGGGAAATGAAAATAAAATACACAGTGGGATATCACCTTACATCTGTCAGAATGGCTAAAATCAAAAACACCAGAAACAACAAGTGTTGGTGAGGATGTATAAAAAGGATCCCTCTTACACTGTTGGTGGGAATGCAAGCTGGTGCAGCCACTCTGGAAAATAGTATGGAGGTTCCTCTAAAAGTTAAAAATAGAACTATCCTATGATCTAGCAATTGCACTACTGGGTATTTACCCAAAGAATACAAAAACACTAATTCAAAGGGATACATGCACTCCTATGTTTATAGCAGCATTATTTATAATAGCCAAATTATCGAAACAGCCCAAATGTCCATTGATTAATGAATGGATAAAGAAGATTAGGAGGGGTAAATGGCCAAATAGACACATGAAAAAGTGCTCAACATCACTCGGCATCAGGGAAATACAAATCAAAACCTCAATGAGATACCACCTCACATCAGTCAGAATGGCTAAAATTAACAAGTCAGGAAACGACAGATATTGGCGGGGATGCGGAGAAAGGGGAACCCTCCTACACTGTTGGTGGGAATGCAAGCTGGTGCAGCCACTCTGGAAAAC